CGTGACCCGGAACTGTGAGAACGAGCCACGTGACCCGGAACTAGGAGAACGGGCCACGTGACTGTTACGTCACCGCGTCGTCACGACAACCAACTCGCGCGCTCACGACGACGGATCTCCAGGCTGTGTCCAGGCAGGCCTCAACTCTGGTCCCGTTCGTGGTTGACGTGCGAATTGATTGGAGAGGCAAAACTTAATTGGTGTTAGAACACAACGGGAGGGATACAACAACAATACCTCGTCACCACTGTTGGAGAGAAGTCCCGTTTTGGAAAGAAAAAGCGGTAAGCGACCCTACTTGTACTACTACTACTACACTGGGCTTGTAGTGAGTGACTCGGGGAAAGAGCCTCCTTGATATTACAGACAATCATAGCACGTAGAGTAATCATAGCACATAGAATAATCATAGTAGAGTAATCATAGCACGTAGAGTAATCATAGCACATATAATAATCATAATAGGCTAATAATAGCACGTAGAGTAATCTACAACACGTAGAATCATAGTGTATAAATAATAATAGCATGTAGAGCAATCATAGTACGTACAATAATCATAGCACATTAAATCATTATAGGGTGCAAAGTAATCATAGCACATCATAACACGTAGAATAATCATAGCACGTAGAGTATTCGTAGCACATAGCATAATCATAGCACATAGAATAATCATCGCTGGTTGGGTGGCGCACAGAGAACGGGGGTCACGTGACCCGATACTGGGCGTGCCTAGCTCTCGATTTAAAGCTTTCGTGACTGCAATGATTCATCTTCTTTGGTTCTTTCGGTAAAGTCACGTAGAATAAGATTAAAATAATAAATTGATAAAATAAAATAACACAATAATATTCTCACGACGTTTCGTCTCGTCCCTTCACCTGATGAAGGCCGCTTGTGTTGTGGCCGAAACGTCGTGAGAATATTGTGTTATTTTATTTTATCAATTTATTATGTTATTCTCATTCTACGTGACTTTACCGAAAGAACCAAAGAAGATGCCTAACTCTCTTACGTCACTGCCCCATGACGTCACCACCCTCCCGCTTACGACGACGATCTCGAGGCAGGGCTCACTCTGGTCCCGTTCGTGGTTGACATGCGAACTGATTGGAGAGACAAGCGCGTTGTGACAACGATAGACTGTAATTTGAAGGTGCAACGATTATTAGAGGCGTGGCTGCTTTGTCTTGGGTGAGCTGCCTTTGAACAACTGCCAAAGCACCTTATTCGAAGTGTAAGTCCAGCCAAGCACAATCATGATAGAATGTGGGAAATACAAATGCAGAGTTACGGGAAAATTATCGCGATAGTCAATAACATCGTGAAAATTCTCGCATCGTATCGTGAAAAATGCGATCCTGGTAACCTTATAATTCATAACTAAAATCAGAATCTTTCTTTTTACTGGAGGAATCCGATGAGCTATGAAGCTCTTTTCCACAGATGTCCAGCAGGGGCAAAGTACAGGTAAAGCAAACAATCACCCAAATCATACAAATGAAACTAAACCATCCCCATCCTACCAGGCAAAGCCTACGAAGCTATTAACTTATTTTTCAGAAGCGCCATGGCTAGCACAAATGATAGCTCAACAAAGTGGCTCATCATTTGGACATCGATAGCGGTGGCAATGGGCAGAGAGGCTGGGGAATGTGGAATGTGCGGCACGCCTCGCGCCTGCACAGAGGAGGAGTTCAGGGCCGTGAGCATGGAAGCACTCTATCTGCTCCTGCTGCTGCTGTTACTGCTGCTGTTACTGCTCCTGCTGCTGTTCATGCTGCTGCTGCCCCTGCTTCTGCTGCTGCTGCTCCACCTGCTGCTGCTGCTGTTACTGCTGCTGCTCCACCTGCTGCTGCAGCTCCTGCTGCTCCTGCTGCTGTTCATGCTGCTGCTGCCTCTGCTTCTGCTGTTCCTGCTGCTGCTGCTCCTGCTGCTGTTCGTGCTGCTGCTGCCCCTGCTTCTGCTGCTGCTCCTGCTGCTGCTCATGCTGATGGTGTTCCTGCTGCTGCTGCTGCTTCTGCTGCTACTTCTGCTGTTGCTGCTGCTGCTGCACGGTTTGGCTGCTGCAAGGCCTCTCATTGGGGAGTCGTTCTCCTCACTGAGACATTTCCATTCTAGATTTGAAGCTTTCGTGACTGCAAGGATTCATACTCTTTGGTTTTATTCGGTAAAGTCACGTAGGTAAAACAAATTAAAATAAAATGAAGCTTGCGCTGCCTCCGAAACGTCGTGTTTTTATTGTTTATCTTATTTTAATTTGTTTTACCTACGTGACTTTACCGAATAAAACCAAAGAGTACATTTCCATTCCTCGCCTTGCTGCCAGTGACGGATTTGGTTTGATGGGGGCGTGCACGTTGCTATTGTTTTGAGTGCCCACCCTCTTTCTAAGATTCATCTCCTTCCCTATACTGGTTTAATACCACCACCACGGACCCTTGCCCAATGCCAACGCTCCACTGTTATTTATAACTGGTCGTATCGGTTCTAGTTTTTTTACGTGAACTACGAATCGTGGCGCGAAAACGTAAACATGCCACGTAACTGCATTTGGTGATGTTTTGGCTTTGATTACCAAATTTAGCAATCTTGTTTACCGTAACGCAAGCACTTTACATCTTTTATGACCATAAAGTTCTACAGGGACTCCTCTACTGAGGAAAATTCGACTTAGAGATACGAACAAACCTGTCTGTACGTCCAGTTTGCCTGTTCGGACCGTAAGTCGTAAGTTAACCGCCGCGCAATAGATGGCATTGGTGGCATCTGCAGAGCTTGAAGAACCAGTGGCATCTATGTTTATATGAGATTATACAACTTTTAAAGCCATTCTCTTATTTAGTGTACATGTCGTACAAAATGTTCGGAACCGACAGGAGTAAGTTGGACTTAGGAACAAATCAACTTACGGACACACCTCTGGATTCTGACTCGTTCGTAAGTAGAGGAGCCCCTGTATTTCCAAAATGGCCCACGTTAATGGGTGCCTGCTTCACTGGCACAACGAGTAAAGGTCGAGTCGCTAAACGTGACCCCTTCTCTCGCTCCCCAGGCCATGGCTCCCCAGCGCTCCTCGTGCCTCGTGACCGCAGTGCTGCCAACGCTGCTGCTACTGCTGCTCGTCGCCCGCCCGTGCGAGCCGTGCTTCAAGTGCACGGAGGCCATCGCGGTGCCCCTGAAAGCGCTGCTGAACAGGATGGAGATCGACAGGCCCTTCATTCGCACGAAGACGTACAAGGGCGTGCAGAATATTATCTCCAAGCTGCTGGGAGAACATTCCAAGCGCTTGATCTGTGAGTCACCCTTTTTACTTTCATTTAATTTGTGTCTGCAATAGAGCTGTAAGACACGTATCTGAGAGATGATGGAAATGTATGCTCGAGATAGTGGATGTGTTAAAAATGTAATTTAGTCCAGATCTGTATGTAATGCATGTGTTAGACAGAACAGGAATGTAAGATGTATTCAGATGAGCTGGACGTGAAACAGAATAGAGATGAGAGGTATTCAGAAGACATTGGAGGATAAAGATGCGTTTCAGAATATATGCAATGCCCACCGCAACAATCAGGGACGACTCGAAGACTTATCTTTCAACTCGGCGCGGCTTTCGTGACAACTCCACAACGATTCGTGAATGAGTGGCGTGCATCACCACCATCACTGTGGAGCCTAACACTGAACATTAAACTCCGCACACACCGCCCAGTCACTGCCACCAACTCTCCTCTCCGTCCACGTGGCCTCTCGGCCGTGTGGCTGTCCCCCTGCCCTCCCCCTTCGCCCCAGGAGGCCTCCCCTGTAAACGCCGCCCGCCGCCCGGGCGGCTCATGCAGGAGGTCGTGGGTTCGATCCCGACTCTAACGTCTGCTGTATATTTGGAGTTTGCGTCTCTCTCTCTCTCTCGCTCCCTGTGGCCGCGTGGATTTTTCTCTTTTTACCTCCACGTTGAGAAACGTGCTTCCGAGTATTTGGCTGAGAGAAGTGTCCACGCGATAAGTACACTCCGTTGAGCTATCACTTGTGGCCAGGTCCGCTTCTGAAGATAAGCTGCGTAGCTCATTGGGCCTTGCGCAACTTTAAATAAATATAGACAACACGTTCTACTTAATTAAATAGACTTTAAATTTTGATTTAAAGCTTTCGTGACTGCAGTAATTCATATTCTTAGTTTTTTCGGTAAAGTCACGTTGAAGAGAAACAACAAAATAATAAAATATATATAAAACAATAAAAAATTCTCACGACGTTTCGACCATAACTCAAACGGTCGTCTTCAGGTGTGTTGGTTCGCATAAATTTATTTTTAAACGGCACATTTATTTATTTATAAAAAAACGTTAGCGCCACGCGCAACGATTTGGCAGTTTACCCAGGACTAGTCCATCTATATTCTGAAAAGAGGAGGGGGGAGACGAAATTATTTTTTATAATGTATGCTGTCTGAAAGCCACTGTAAGCGTGAACAATCAATTAAGACCTGAAATGGTTTATCAAATCTTTGCAATGATTGCTAAGATAGAATCCATCTTCTCGGTTGAAATTGTCTCTGTGCTTGTATATGTGGATAGCCTCATGAACGAATCTCTCATGGAAGCCAAGACAGAGGTTCTTTGTAAGCCATCTGGCTTCCATGAGAGATTCGTTCATGAGGCTATCCACATATACAAACTCTCTCTCTGTCAGTCGCTGTGCGTGTCTGTCTCTCCATGTCTCTCTGTAACTGTCTCTCTGTGAGTCTCTTGTCTTTCTGTCTCCGTGTCTCTCTGTGTCTCTATGAGCCCGTCATTCTGTTTCTCTATAACTGTCTCTCTGTGAGTGCGCGCTCTTTGTCGGTGCTTCAGTGTTGTTCACCGTCTTGTGGATTCGGAAAAGGCTGGCCGTGTTAACTGGAACGCTCTGTGTCCGTGCGTGCGTGCGTGTTGTTCACCGTCTTGTAGATTTGTACGAGCAGGTGGAGCAAACCATGGGCTCCAAGTTTGTGGAGATGAACAACAGAATTGGAGACGGTACGTGCGTTCGGACTCGAGGGGCATGTCAGCGGGCTGACTCGCACGTTCTCGGCAGAAGTCGTTTCAGCAGCCTAGCTCAAGAGAACGCAAACAAACCGATACTTTGCTCCACCGTTTTCCAGGATTTTTGGAGAGAAAACAAATCCAACACCTAAATATGTTGTCTAACAAATGAGCAGCGTGATGCCACGGTGTAATGGTTTGTACACTATATAACTTGCAATCTCGTGGCCCCCTGTTAACTCCCTCGCCTGATATGAAGGAGGTTGTGGGTTCGATCCTGACCCTAATGACTGTATATAATGGTCGCGAAAGCCTACGTGTATATTTGGAGTTCGCATGTCTCTCTCTCTCTCCCCGTAGTCGCATGGATTTTTCTCCGGGTCCTCCGGTTTTTCCCTCCATATTTAGAAACATGCGTTGAGAGTATTTTTGGCTGCTATACATTTCCACTTGGTAAGCTGCTTCGTTGAGCTATCATTTGTGGCCAGGTCGCTTCTGAAAAATAGCTATTTAGCTCAGTGGGCCTTACCTGGTAAAAAAATAGTAAAATAAAAAATATCGTTCTCCGTCATGGCAGTTGAAACATCCGTGCAAGTTTCTGAAATATATACCTTGCAATTTGCATTTTCATCTTCATGAGCATCTAAATTCAACCAGGCTGTTGTTAGCCAAACGCAGCACCGCAAAAATCCATCGTTGTACTGATCTCCTATGCTTCAATGTCCAGCCCCCACCACTGACTCCAACCCACAACGACCAGCATGGTGAAATAACCGCCATGACGAGTACGGCATGGGGAAACCCTCATCCATCAGTGGATTGAGACAAAAAAGCGATCTACGTGTAGCAATGCAAGAGCATATGAAGACAGTGTACCGAACAAAGGGGTATAATGTGTGTGTGCTCGTGGGTGTATTGACCATTGGCACAGCAGGGAGTACAACTGGTGCATCTACCAGTCGTCTCAGTCAGCCAGCCCATGGCACCTGGGTCTGTCCCGAGACCTCTTGTCGGCGAGCCTTCGACACTTCACGTGGCCTCAGTGCACCTGGCCTGGCACAGGCGCCCTGGTGACGTCACCGTCACTTAGTGGCGAATGGCGGGTGTTGCTATCGGTGTTGCCCATTGTGTGGGGAGCGTTAGCGTAGCGGATAGCGCACTGCGCTACGAACCCGGCGATCAGAGTTTGATTCTAGCTCACAGCCAACACCAGTGGCGGTTATCTGAACTGGTCCTGGGTCTCCCCTAGGTCGACTCAGCCTCAGATGAGTCGACCTTGGGTGTGTAAACATCGCCACTGGGAAGACAAAGGTGGTCGGGCGTGGTGCTGGTGACACACCATCTGATGTGCCGTGCCGGCCTTCATAGGTGCTACTCGCTAACAGCGCTTGCCGGAACAGTCTGTTAAGGCTATGCGGGGGATCTTTGTCTTTGTTGCCCATTGTCAGATTGATTTGAATATCCAAAAACGGCCCTACCTATATTTAGAATGATCTTACTCTTTTTTTTGACACTTTAGTTGATAAATACGTAAGTGGAAATTAAATGTTTGTGTCATTTACGGGCCTGTAAAAGAAACCTGCATCGTGTGACGTCACTTTTGTAAGCACAAAGGTACTTCGTAATTACCTCAAATCAATGATCTGAAAGTAAAAAAAAGATCGTCAATTTGTTTTACAAATCCTAACATCAACAACGTTGAACTCTGAAATATACAGGCCTACTGTATTTGTGTGAGAGAAGAGACGGTCAGCCGTGAGTGTTGCTACTCACGCTAAAGACTGAAAATTGCACGCATATAGTGGGTGTTGTGACGGTTAACTTGAACGAAAAGTTTGACTACATGAAAGTAATCAGGGCCTAGATCGCTACGAATTAAAACAGCATTCAAAGTAATGACGGCGAATATCGTGGATAGCAAATCGGTTAATTTAATACAAATAGAGAAATGCCAATAATACATTTGAATACCTCCCCACCCTCCATTACAATGTGGAACGATTCAATGACGCAATTGGTGGCGAGATGTTAACTACCTCGCCAGGTATACAGCAGGTCGAGGGTTCGATCCCGTCAGTAATGCATTTATATTTGGAGTTTGCATGTTTCTTCCTGCGGTCGTGCGGATTTTCCCCAGGTCCTCCAGTTTTCCCCTTCACATTTAGAATCAACATCACGCGTTTAGAGTATTCGGCTGCTATAAATGTCCACGTGATACGCCACTTCATTGGGTCATCACTTGTGGTCAGGTCGCTTCTGAAAAAGAGCGACATAGCTCGGTGGGCTTTACCTGGTGAAATAAAACATAGTTTTAGTAGTTTAGTTGAGCATTACAGCAAGACCTGAGTTTGATTCCCAACATGTGCACCTCTCTGCGTGCAGTTTGTTCTACGCCTGTTCTGCATGTGTTTCCACCCAGGTCCCTAATGTCCTCCCATAGCAACAACAAAAAAAACAATACAGCATTACTGGTATTGGCCAAACACCCGAATGCTGATCAATTATCTGCAAAATAAACAATTTGGATTTCTCAAAGCAAGATCACCCTCTTCTGCAAAGATGTGGCATAACTCTCCGGAAAAGTCTTGACATTGTTGAGGGTTTCCTGGCCCAACAAGAATAATGATTTACAAATATTTATTAAATATGTATTTGATAATTGCAGTCATGTTCGTGGCAACTCGTGGTTTCAAGAGTCACGTGAACCCGTGACTCAATGTAAATCCAAAGGGATACACCATGGGCTCATACACGAGTGATTCGTTGCACGTATCGTGAGCTTAAGACTCAACGGTTGATCATTCCACCCCTGGTATCTAAACACGTGATGCATGTTGGTCGCACCTTCAATGCTGTCTCGGTTTGTTTATAATGTGCGCTTCGTACAACTCCGTATCAGCATAAACACAAACACTGTCGGTTTTTTACGTGCTTGATCACTCCTGCCTTGTTAACTATGTATTGGTTTTGTCATTCACAGTTTCCGGTCAGCTGAGTGAAAAACACTATGCCAGTAAGTGTGGGGAAAAAGATTGAGCCTGACTGTGGGAAATTCAGTTTTGATTTGTTTTGAGAGATCCGACTGGTTGCTTTTTGCTATGCTTGCGAATATTTCATCTCTCAGTGCGCCGTAGACTCTTGTAATATTTTCACAAAAACTATTCAAAAGATAACCCCCAAAAGAAAACTAACCACCCAGGTGTTATCAATACCAAAACCCAGAATTATATCATTCTGGAGCAAAACTGGAAAATAAATATATATTAAAGTTATTTTTTACTTAATAAAGGTACAATATTTTGGGTAGACATTTAAATATGTCTACACTAAATATTGTGTGTGCCTCAAAAAGCACAATAGTGGTATAATTGGTTATGAAATTCTCGTAATCCAAGAAATTAGCCTGCCGATGGTGGCCATACATTGCTGTATTCCAGCACTGTGGAGGCAGCGAGGGTTGGTGGACCGCACACAGATGTTACGGAACTCCCTGACTGTGGGCGTCGAGGTGCTGCTATACCCTGGCTTGCCAGGAGAAGGCGCGACAAGAAAAACATGGACTCCACCTTTTCCATCTGTACATTGCATGTGTTGTTAAGCCAACACCATCTGACACAGACAATTAGTAAGGTTTGTCACGTAAACAAAACGTGCCAATTAGTTACTACTTCAGCACACCGGTGTGTTGGAGAGTAAAGGCACAACATTTACAATTTGAGTACGACGTTTCGCTGGTAATTACAACCAGCTTAATCGGGCGATTAATATTTACGTGATTTAACCCCAAAAAAACACGTTTATTATTAATAACTTTTATTAATGCAACAGGATTTGTATGATGAGCCAAATAATGCTGGCAGATCTACAGGATGGCCCAATAGTTAATTTCCCGAATTATAAATACGGAATTAATTTCTCACTAAACTAATTTAGACCACCTTGTACAATAATGTTCATTATTTACCAAAGAAATCCTGACTGAGTCTAAAAACTCCTCTTCAGGAGGGTCCCGCTGCATGAGGATGTTTTGGCGATGTTAATTTTTTCACGAATGGGAGTTTGGGATTCATGTGAGAGGACACCAGGGAACTCTACAGGCTGTGATCAGGAGCCAGAAACACACACCTGCCTGGTTCGGAATGTGTTATGCAAAATGTTTTAAAGGGATGATTGAATGACGTAACAAAATCAATGATTTACCGGGCCAGATTAAGGTTCTTGTAGGTCCTGGGCACTTCTGTTTCGTAGGCCTTCAGTGACAACTTTCTACAGTTGCTACTGCTGCTGCCCCATGTTACTGCTACCGCCGCTGTCACTCCGCTTGTTTCGCACGGTACTTCGTCCAGGTGCTGTACAGACGTCATTACTGATACACGTATTATTTAGGATGTGCCCTAAATTGATGGGAGCGTGCTGCGCGCCACAGATAACATTGACGTGACTTTGCCTCTTTGTACACTGTGCCTATCCTTGCTATACAAATATATTTATTCAAGAAGATATCCTGGTTACATTTTATTTTTTATAATACGTACAAACAAAAAACGTGGTAAAAATGTGTCTTCGTAAGCCCTTTAGTTTTTGTAGGCCCTTAAGTATTTGTAGGCCCTTTAGTATTTGTAGGGACTAGGCACAGTGCCTACTGTACCTAATGTGCCGATTGGATAATATGGCCCTGATGATTTATCGTCGAGACACGAATAAGCAAATTGAAACAGGTTGCATGTAACTATAAAGACATTGCTGGCATCCTTTTAATGGCTTGAAATATTTATGACGTTTTGGAAACTGTCGTGATGAATGCAAATGTGGGCCACCGTCACAGAAGTGTGACCAGTTCCTGGAGCTGAAAGCTGTCGTCTGTCAAAAAATCAATGCAAGTACAATGGACAGATATGTACAGGGGCAATCATGAAGCAATATTTTAAAAGTCTTTGCACTATACAGTAATACCTTGGATTGCGAGCATAATTCGTTCCAGAAACGTGCTCGTAATCCAAAGCACTCGTATATCAAAGCGAATTTCCTCAAAAGGAAATAATGGAAACTCAGATGATTCGTTCCACAACCCCAAAAATATTCAAGTAAAAATTATTAATGCAAAAAACCTTTTTATATTTTTTTTATTTAAATTTAATATAAAGTAATCAAATTTATTAATTTAATTTAATCGTGGCTGGTGTGAGGGAGACGAAAGAGAGGAAAGGAGGAGGGTTATTGTGTAGGACGACTTTCACTGTCACTAACGGAATCACTGCCATATGTTGGCTCACTGGAATCTTTTTTTTTGTGCGACTTTAACAAGGAACCTATCCAATGACACTTGCTTTTGCCTCCTTTTGAGGATTTCATTGGGCGGCATTGTTGCAGTACAGTTACTAAAGAACAGTCACTACACTTGGACAAAAATAACAAAAATGCTTTACGCACACACACGTGGTCACAACACTATACTGTAGTAAACACTATAGTACTGTAGTAAACAGTATACACGTGGTCACAACACTATATAATTATAGTAAACCGTATACGCTCGCATGGATGTTGACTATACGAGTGAGGCACGCTGACTGAGACCGAGCATGGGAGACGATTACCCACAATCCCGCAGCGAGAGAGAGAGAAGAACCATCGGCTCAGTTGTGATCACGTGACGCTCGGCAGACAAAGCGTACACGTACACTACTCGTGTTGCAAGACCTCGCTCGTTTTATCAAGTTAATATTTATTTAAAGTTTTTGCTCGTCTTGCAAAACACTCGCAGACCAAGTGACTCTCAATCCAAGGTTTTACTGTATTTACAAATTGTTCACTCGTTTTTTTCTCTCTCTCATGGCAGTCTACTGGAGAGAACTCGTCAAGTTATGGAAGGATTTTCAGGAAGCTTTGAAGAGTAAGTCCTGCCCATTGCACCCTCACACCCAGCGCGACGCAAACATCAATCGTTGTCTTCCTCCTCCTCCCTCCTGCTCACATGAGCAATGTTGAGAATACCGGTGTCTAACACGTTACCGTGGTGGGGACGAGACTAACCATAGTACGGCATTGTTGATGCTTCACGAACCTGCATCAAGCTAACACCTGTCCCCTCCCACTTGCTCTTGTGCGCGGTACAGATTTGTAACTTTAACTCTTAATGCATCCATCCATAAGAGGTTTTCGTTTGGTATAGGATCATTATTATTAATACAGCGGTATAATTAGCTGTCGCCTGATGAGGCTAGTTGTAATTACCGGCGAAACGTCGTACTCAAATTGTAGATGTTGTGGGTTTACTCTTCAACACACCGGTTATTGCTGAACTAGTAAATGACACGTTTGTTTACGTGGCAAACCTTACTAATTAGCTGTGTTGGGTGGTGCTGGTGGTGGGAGTAACGACACATTTATATTCACACGATCTAACCCAGAACACCTCTGATGTATATTGGTCGCGAAAGCCGACATATTAAACTTAATGTATCCATGCTCGCTTCCTTGTGACCCTAATGCAAGTTTGCCAAATCTTTCTTCCTCTGTCCACCGAGCGGTAGGCATGGGGACACACCATAATCAGTCGATCAGCACGTCCAATACGGTGTGGCAAAGTGTGGATATTCCTGTCTCTGGCCACCTTGGAAAAGTAGGCCAAATACTCTGTAGACGGGATCTCTGTACCTCGAGTGGAGGCCCTTTAGCCAGCAGTGGCATGAGCAGGACACTTTCACCCTTACCTGGTTACACTCCCTGCTGTGTGTGGTGGTGATGTATGGGATTTGTGACTGTGTTGTTAAGCAACTAATGCGAATATAATTTAACTAACCGTTACGTTTTGTCCTTTCCTTTTTGTTTTTCAGCTTCGAAGGAACCGTCATGCCCTGTCTGTGGTAAGATTGTGTACACCTGTATATATGTTGCGGCGTAAATGACGACTCGGAGGCAGATCTTCATGTAGGGGCTTGCGCCAGTTGTTTTATTAAGGACTTTTCTTCATTCACGACTCCGTGTACTGCACGCTCACTCATCGCTCCCCCAGGGGAAGGGTACTGGGGATTCCCTAGCATCCGCAGGCTACGCTAGCCTGGTGCCAATTTCCCCCTACCCTGGGTCCCAACTTCCAACTTCACACGTTCCTGGCTCCCCGCAACGACCACGAACACGTCACGGGTCCCAACCTAAATATCCCAGGGGGACATGTCACCGTCCCGCCCCCTGTCCATGACGTCACCGTACGTGATGTCATCGTACCGGAGGGCGAGCGTGACATGACGCCACTAACTACTACTATACATATATGTAGGCGATTCTGTAAGACGGTATGGGTGCCGTGACTGCGTCTTTATCACCTTATCACATGAGACAGTATGCATACGTGTGTGCGCATGTGTGTTTGTGTATGTGTCAGGGGAGCGGTAGCTTATCGGTTAGCGCACTACGCTGCGAACCTGGCGACCCGAGTTCGATTCTCGCTCACGGCCAACACCAGTGATGATGATCTGAACCAGTCCTGGGCCTTCTCTAGGTCGACTCCCCCTTGTGTGCCGTGCCGGCCTTCATAGGTGCTCGAATTTTGTATTTGTGTATGTGCGTGTGCGCATGTGTGCATGTGCCCGTGTGCGTGGACAATTTATGAGGCCAAAAAGGTCCGAGCGTTATTCCGGAAATGTGAGCGAGCACCACCGATTGTCGGCTTCAGCATCACGCTCGTTCAAGCACGTCAACGACGACGTCACCATGCGCTTGATAATGGCGCTTGCCCAACATTCTAACATTGTCATGACAAATGTTTGCCTTTGAATGCAACACTTTCCCCCCGGCTTTTATCTGGAAAACCTGCACCAACTTCACATGTACAGGCAAAATCTGCTGACAATTGACCAAATACAGTTGATCCTCGATTATCCGGCAGCTTCCCACATTATCCGGCAGTCCTGGGCCGATTTGGCAAAACCCCTCCAGAGGCACCGTTTGGCGTGACAAAAAAGGTAGCTATGCTTGATTTCATTGTGAAATATCATATACGGTACATTATACACTACATACATACAACTTAAGCAATGAAAATGCTTCATGTGTATACTCCAGTCTTCGAGATTAGAGTGGTAAGTACGGTACAGTAAATAGTCACTTTTTTATTAGGATTTTTATTTTAGAGTAGGATATTTATGCAAATGTTATGCAGTAAACAAATTTAAAACGTAAAAGCACATGCACAACACCGAAAAACACGGCGTGCAAAAATAAGCAATTTTAAATAGTCATTTGATTATCCGGCGTTTTTGAAAACCCGGCGCCCCCTGCCCCCCGAAGCCACCGGATAATCGATGATCTACTGTAATATTCTAACTGAATAATATAATGAAGGCTTACCTGAAAGTAAAGCCCAATTTTAACGAAGTCGTGGCGTGACGGCAGTACAGCAACGTATCGAGGAGTCACCTCGTGTTGAGCTCATGAGTATTCTCAACTCACGTGCAGGCACAGTCTCCAAGTGCGCTTGTTTCCTGCCAAACGGTCTTGCATGGAATTGGCCAAACATCTAAATGTAGGGCCCTGCTCAACAACAGTTTTGTTTTTAGTCTTATCCTGAACGTAACAGACTGCTTGGAGTCATCACATGTCGCTTATTTCGACCTTAAACTCGCTCACCGTGTTCTAAATGCAATTGCTTGACACACTCGACTGGGCAAGTAAACGTTTATCATTCTTATCGTGTGGGTGTCACGGCGGTTCGGGCAGTGCCACGAACCCCACTGCCTGAGTTTGATCGCTGGTCATGCGTAACGTCACCGGTGGGTGACATCCAAACCTATCCTGATGCCACGACCGAAACCTAATCCCCCCCACGGTCACCAACTCGCATTGAACGGTGTGACGAGTAAATGGTCAAACCACGTGACCGACATTCCTGCAGGAAATGTACGTGTCTAGTTCGTTGTCCTTCTTCCTGCACCTCCCGATTAGCACGGTTGGCTATGTACGGTGCGAAAGCAGTTCAACATGCGTACAAATTGGTTTCATATTTTTATCTCCATTTGAGAAAAAAAGCGAATAAAAAATCAAATCAAAAAGGTGATAAATGGAACTTCGTAGCGTTTACATTTGCCCCTACTGAAAATGCACGTGACATCTGGTTCCATCACGTGAACTTTCGTGACCCCAATCTTCCCTGCAATCTGCAGACATCAACAGCCTTTTAACTCCGTCCATGTGTTTTTTTTGTCCGCAGAACCCACGTATGTATCTGCCCTGCGCTGCGAATCCTGCCAGAAAGAGAATAAGGAAGTCTGCCTGTCTTATTGTGAACGTACGTCATCCTGGAGTTATAACGTCAGGAATGCCTCACTGCGTGCAATTTATATCACTCCTAAAATATGACTCTCGTAAAATCTGTCGCGTTGTCCTTGCAATCCAAGTACGATGAATCGAAGTATTAATTTTACTCATTAAAATCTATGCATCGTTCCATGCATGTGCAATGCCTTGAGATGCTCAATTTGCATAACCAGGCAGGGGTAGTGCAACAAGCAGAAACATTGTAGGAACATATTCTTGGTTCATATTCTTGGTTTTTTCGGTAAAGTCACGTTGAAGGGAAACAATAAAATAATAATATATATAAATAAAAAATATTCTTGGTTCTTTCGGTAAAGTCACGTTGAAGGGAAACAATAAAATAATAAAATATATATAAATCAAAAATATTCTTGGTTCTTTCGGTAAAGTCACGTAGAAGGGAAACAATAAAATAATAAAAATATAACATATTTAATTATATTCTTTTTCCCTTCTACGTGACTTTACCGAAAGAACCAAGAATATGAATCCCTGCAGTCACGAAAGCTTTAAATCAAAATTGTAGGAACAATGAATTTCGCTCGCACTGTGGTGACGTCAGCGCAGTAACATTTTTTAAAAAAAGTGTCACCATGTCATTACTAAGTCTCCATATCAAGCCGAGTAAAAAAGACAATACACTTTACAGGCACTTCGTTGTCTTCTGAATTGTTTTCCTGGTGCACTCTGGGCATTATTGTCAGGAGGCAGAGAAACCCTTCAAAAATGTCACAGCAGAGCAACCTCACGAGTGTGAGAATGGCCAAAAAAGATTTGCTCACAACTTCTGCATGGAGCCCTTCAAGCAGCGCTGTCCAGAGTGCTGCTGCCGGCTCGTATCACCCGACGCTTCTGCCTTCTTAAACATTGCTGATGTTTGTGTTTAGTTTGTTGTCCTTCCCCCCCCCGCCCGCCGTACCTCCGATTAGCACGGTGGCTACGTTACGGTGTGAAAGAAGTTCACGTAGATACAGCCATTGCACATTGCTGCCAGGGATACGTCTAAATTCACTCTGCTAGGTTTTTACAAAAAGCAATGATGTGAAAATGTTCGAGGATTTTTTTAAAAGTCTCTAAACGTCACTAACTCACCTGCGCGTGTATGCATGTATGTGTTACAGGAAGTGGGGAGCGGTAGTGTAGCGGTTAGCGCGCTGCGCTATGAACCCGGCGACCCGAGTTCGATTCCCACTCACGGCCAAAACCTGTGACGATTATCTGAACCGGTCCCGGGCCTCCTCTAGATCGACTCAGCCTCAAATGAGTACCTGGTGCGGTGTGTAAACATTGCCACTAGGGAGACGAAGGCGGTCGGGCGTGGTGCTGGCCACCCACCCCCTCGTGTACCGTTACCGGCCTTCATAGGTGCTCGCTAACAGCACTTGCCCCGACAGTCTGTTAAGGCTACACGGGGGACCTTTATCTTTGTCTTTGTGTTACAGGAACTATTTTGGAAAAGCAACGGCGAGCACCTTTGGAGGTTCTGGACGACGTCAATCCCGACGTCATCCCAGAGCCAGACTACGACCCTGAGTTTGAGCCCACGAAGACCAGCGTGATTGCACTGATCGTGATCGTGCCAGCCATGCTATGCTTAAGCGTCTTCTGCATCGGTGAGCCTTTAGCTTGTTCCTCCAGATAGCAGAGCCGTTTTTAACAACAAGTAGAGTCCTCTGCAGATCATCGTAGGAGATGTGTATATGTTGAATTTCTTTCACACATTTCCGTAGCCAACAGTGCTAATCGGAGGGGCGGGGTAAAGGACACCAAACTAAACACAACAACGAGCAGTTTCTTAAAGAAATTAGTTTTCAATCTCTTAAGATTTAGAGAGACACAGAGACACGTTTACAAACACTTTGAGAGACACGAAGGACACAGACAGCTATAGACACGGACAGTGTCAGACACGTACAAAGATACACGTGGAAAGATGCAGGCAGAGATTGACTCGGAGAAAAACCCACACATGCACAAATAGATAACTACAGATACTTACATGCATGTGCATTTAGTGGCTCACACTAACCCGTTTACTCCCTTGTCCCCTGTTATGTTCAGTAATGTGCTTCACGCGAAATAAAAAATCAACGACTGCCCCCGACATGGAAAAGGGATTGGATGCTGCGGAAGAGCAGAACCGACAGGAGCCCGATGTGAAGATACCTGGGCATCCAACGAAGCCTGCCCGGGATAATCACACCAAAAAAGCCGGCGCGCACAAAGCATCCCGCGATGGACCAAAGAAAGAAAGGCCACGCAAATGAAAGTGCGGGCAGTCCCCCGACTTACGAACGGGTTCCTTATTCCTGAGGCCTGTTCAAAAGTCAAACTGTTCGGGTTCACAAATAAAGACAGATAAACACATGCCGCACACTCACTTTCACACACACACACATGCTGGAGTTTGCAGGGATTGTGTGGTGCCACGGCCTCGAAACCACTCTGCAAACTCCGCGACCACACACTGAATACACACATACACACAGCGCACACACGTAGTGTCCTGGCGTGGGATTGCTTGGCACAACGGGTTTTAATCCGAAGGGTTC